ATATACCAAATCCTAAGGGGAAGGTACCCAACACAAGGTTAGGCAAGCCACTTACCTCGAACCAGCTCAAAATCTACCCGAAACCACGTTCTTGACACGAGTATTCGACTCCAAATGGCCCAAATCTAATCAATTCAATTGCATAATGTAAATAATACTTCAAGTAACTAATTCTACAAATAAATTCTAAGCTAATGCGCGAAATTAGGTGAAGTGACCAAAACGCCTCTCGGGCCCACGTCTCGGGATCAGCTAAAATTTATATTTTCAGAATCCTCATACTCTCACGAGTTCATGCATACCAAAATTATCCAAATCCAAGGTCAAATTCCCCATCAAAATTCGAATTCTAGGTCTAAGAACTTTCTTTCCAGTTTTCTCAATTTTCATCTCCAAATCCGAATTTAAATGACAAAACTAAGATAAGATCAATGGAATATACCTAGAAAGGAACAAGGAATCGTTACCCAATGATCTTCTCTTCAAAAACCTCACAAAATCGCCCTACCCCGAGCTCCAAATTTGACTTTTCCAAGTTTTGAACAAAACCCTCGATTCTGCCCCTTTTCTGCCCAGTAAAACCGCACCTGCGGTCCCGCTTCTGTGGAGCCAAGGTCGTACCTGCGACTTCTCACTTAAATCAATTTTTCCGCTTCTACGACACATTGTCCGCACCTGCGGTCTCGCAGGTGCGTTAACCTTCTCGCACCTGCGGCTCCTGGAGCTGGACGAAATTTCCGCTTCTGTGGTCCTATATCCGCTTCTGCTGCACCGCACCTGCGGTCCCACACACGCAGGTGCGGTTATGACAGGTTCAGCAATGCAAAAAGCTTCCTAAGTCCAAATTCAACTTCCGTCAAGCACCCGAAACTCACCCGAGGCCCCCGGGACCTCAACCAAAAACACAAACAAGTCTAATACCACTGCCCAAACTTATACCAATCCTTAAAACACCTAAAACAACACCGAAACACCAATTTAACATCGAATTCAAGCCTATGAACTTCAAAAACTCAAAATTTACGCTTTCGATCAAAAAGTCTATCAAACCTCGTCCGAATGACCTGAAATTTTGAACACACATCACATTCAACACTACGAAGCTACTCCAACTTCCGGAATTCCATTCCGACCCTCAGATCAAAATCTCACTATCGAACCGAAAAATTCAAAAATCCAACTTTCGGCATTTCAAGCCTAAATTAGCTACGGACCTCCAAAATGCAATCCGATCACGCCCCTAAGCCCGAAATCACCGAATGAAGCTAAAGGAATCATCAGAATTCCATTCCGAGTTCGTATTCACACTGTTCCAACTACGGTCAAATTTCCAACACTTAAGCTCTCATTTAGGGACTAAGTGTCCCAAAACTCTCCGAACTCAAAACCGAACATCCCGGCAATTCAAAATAGCATAAGTGAACACGGGGAAAGCAGTTAATAGGGGATCGGGGCATAAATTCTAAAATTGACCGGCCGGGTCGCTACAACACTATAGTGTTTTCCTCAACATGGACATCATTAATACAAGTATGGCCGAATGATTTACTCTCCACTATTAGCTCCTCAATTTGGCGTATCAGCTCCTTTTTAGCTTCATACAACTCAGAACTATTTTGTTGGGCGTTAGACACATCAACCTTTGCAATCAATTTAGCTCCCAAGTCGTGAATATTAGTGCCAAATTTTTCAATCTCTTGTGCCAGTTCAGCTCTTCCTTATATAAAGTTTCTCATCCCATCAGTAATTTCCTTACGTTGAGCCTCATATATTTCTAACCTTTTAGCTTGTTCAACTAGCCATGTTAGGCTCAAAATCTTCACTTTTTCAAAATTTTCCTTTTGTTGGAACTTGCTTTCTTCATTCAATTATTCCATATTAGCCATCATTCTTGTGATTGGTGCCCTCATTCTTTTCATATCTTTTTTGAGTTCATCCTGTTGCTCTGATATTTACCTCAAAATATTGCTAATATATGCATCAAGTTCCATATCCTGCACTTCATTGCCCCTATCAAACTCACAAACACTGTTAGAAAGATCATAATGAGGGTACAAAAAAGGATGAAAAGAATTAGGACAACCATCCCAATAGTCATCTTGACCACCACACATATTACAGATATTCCACTTAAAGGGTTGAGATTGTGCGCACAACTCCCTCCTGGGAACGTTCTACAAATTTTCCACCAGTGGGGTCCTCCAAAAAATGGACAACGATCATCAAAATAAGAGTAACCATCATTCGAATAATTTTCATTCCAAGATGCTATGTTAAAATCGATAAAAAATACTAACTAAACTAAAAAAAAAAACATGGATAGATAAAAATAAATGTCTAATCTAGAAAAATAGCTAATTTCTAAGTCCCCTGCAACGACGCCTAAAACTTGTTGTGGCCAGACGCACATGCAAGTATACATGGTCGTCAAGTAATAAAGTGACTAAAAGGCGAATGTCGAACCCACAAGGACTTGTGATTAACTATTAACTGAATTAGACTATCCTAATTATCTAAACAAGGATTAAACCCAAAATTAGTGATGCAAAAGTAACTAAACTAAAAAGAAAATAAATAATGAACTCTGAACAAAGGAAGAATAGATTTTTTATGTTATCAATGTAATGAAAACGATCTAGGGTTATGGGTATCTAACATTCCTATTGTATTCTTCAATTGAATTGACTAACTAGTTTATCTTAGTTTATTGGTTAACAGGGTTTCTCCCGGAAACAGCCTCTCTACCCCCTCCGGGTAGGGGTAAGGTGTGCGTACACATTACCCTCCCCAGACCCCACTGGGTGGGATTCTACTTGGTTGTTGTTGTTGTGTTGTATTGGTTAACAGGGTTAATATTGCTCATAAGAATCTGTCGAGTTCTTACTCGCCTATTCAAGCTAACCTAATGCCTATATGTCTATGGAATTAGAACTAACAAGAAGACATTTATAATCCATGTACGTCAACAAAGCAAGGTAAGTAGGTATATGTCTATCCAAATCGCGAATCTGTTCCCCGATGCCCAGATTCAAGAACTTGCTTTACCCAATCCTATATGCAATCTAGAATTCCCACTTTCGAGTTCAATTCTAGATTCATAGATAGTATTCAATTGGTGATCAAGCAATCAAATAATTTAGCACAAGATTGAATGAATAAACCAATACGACAAATTAAGAAATCAAAATTAATATCTGAACAACAATAGTCATGAAAGTACCACAACCCTAAAATGTATAGTTTAGCTCCGCATAGACATGGTAGCAAAATAACAAATCATACAAAGAAACATAAGAATTACTAAGTTTGGTGGAAGAAAAGATGAAACCCATCCTCCACGACAGCTCTGTGCTCTCCCTAGGTCAAAAGTTTGTTTAAAGTTACAAAAATAACGTTTTTACATATATTTATACCAAGTAGGGTCGGACCCAGACGAAAATACCTTCTCCCGCGCAAAATAGGAAAAATACTCTATAAAAAATACAGAAGCACGCCACACAGAGAAACGCGCCGCGCGCCATGTTAGTGGACGAATTCAGGGACCTTGCAATTTGAACAAAATTGGCCAACATCCTTTGTCCCCCACATAGGCAGACATGCCAATTAATTGTGAAATCTCTTACGCCAAACATCGCATGCCAATTATGATGTGGCATCCTTGTTATATTTCCTTGTCAATTTTATCTCATTTTTCCTATGTATACTTGGTCCTCGACCCCCAAATTTGATCCCGACTTAATTCTTTTGGCTTTTCTTAGACTTCAAAGCTCCAAATAGCTCGAATTAGCTCCATAACATCTACATCACTCGAAATCACTCCTAAAAGGTATAAAATACACAATTAGTACAAAACATTAGCAATTAAAGCTCAAAACACAATAAAAGTGCAGTAAATTAGAGTGGAATAAGCGACTAAAATATGCAATTATAGCTAATTATCAAAACTCCACCTCAAGTGATGAAGAAGTAGAGCAGATAATACAAGTTTTTAATCATGTACCATCAGATCCTGAGGTGGCAATGGCCTTTGGAGAAATTACTGAGAATATGAATCTATCACCTAGAAGACTCCAATCTGCTAGAGAAGGAAAAGCCACAAGAGGGAACAGAGGAGGAAGAACAAAAAGTCAGACAACTGTGACCAGATCACAGTCCAAATCATCATCATCCATCCAGTTTTAATGGTTAAGTCTATATTATGGAATGTGAGAGGCATCAGATCACAAGGTGCCTTTGATAGACTCAATCAGCTCAAGAGAAGACGTAAACTTGTATTTATGGCTCTAATGGAACCATTTTGCAGGGAATAGAAAATAGACAAGTTTAGAAGAGGGTTAAAAGTTGATTAGTGTAATTAGTAGAAAGATTTGATTAGATTAGATTTTATTCTCTAGGCTGATTTTATTCTGTAGCTTAATTGTAGCAATTACTGATTTCTTTTCCTAGTTTAGCCATAGGATTCATTTTATAAGTGTCAGTACTCTTGATGTGAATAATATACAAAAATACAAGAAGCTCCGTTCTTCTTCTTGAAATCATCATGGTTCAGAGCCCTGCTGCCATTTTTGAGGTGAGTTTCCTCCCTCAGCAGCACTATAGGGTTCCAGTTATTTGAAAGAGGTTGAGTGTTTCCTCCCTCACAGTGGCTGTCCGCATCGAAGCTATTATATACCAGTAGTGTGAAAAAACTAACACCATTACAAGCTTCCTTAGGCGACGGCGACCAAATCCTAATAAGCAGCTCCGAGAAATACCTCTCCACGCGCCACCAACAGTTCCGCCGGCGAGTAGACAGCTTTCCGGCAATTTTTCCTGGAATTTTTTTGCTCCCTTCAGGTCGCCAGCACATTCCTACCCTACCCCAGTTGCAATTTTTTTTCCTATCACCGGAGGTAGGGTTTCTACCTCTCAGTTCTTTTTTTTCCAGTGAAGGTTGCTGCTGCTTTTTTCTCTCATTCTTGGAGTTCAGGTTAGGCTTCTGTACTAATAATTAAGAAATAATGGGGGACACCAAATCAACAGATAATTCTCTTTCACAAATGGTTAATTTTGTTTCACAAGTTAGCGCAGTTTAATTGGATGGGGCTGGTACATATCTTGCTTGGTCAAGATCTTGTTTGCATTTTATTAAGTCCAGAAAGTTGCTTAGTTATATTACGGGAGAAAAGAAAGCACCTGTTGTGACTGATGCTAGCTATAGTCAGTGGGATTCAGATAATTCTCTAGTTATGACATGGCTTTTGAATACTGTGCACCCTCGAATTTCTAAACAATATTTATTGCTTGATACTGCTGAAAAGATCTGGAATACCACTAAGCGCACTTACTCTCGTAAGGGAAATGACGCTCAGGTCTTTGAAATTCGAAATAAGATTCATGCCACTAAGTAAGGTAAGTTGACTATCACTGACTACTATTCCGAGTTAACTGGGTTATGGAAGGAAATCGACTACTATCAGGATCTCCAAGCGAAGTGTACTGATGATGCAGTTCTCTTTCAAAAATTGGTTGAAAAGGAAAGGATATATGATTTTTTGGCCGGTTTGAACCCAGAGTACGATCAGATCAGGGTTCAAGTTCTTGGTAAAGTTCCTTTTCCTTCTCTTGGGGATGCATATTATTATGTTCAACAGGAAGAGAGCCGACGAGGAGTCATGCTTTATTCTGCACCAACCGAGAAGTCTGGGTTAACTGTGTCTCATGAGCAAACAAAGGCGTTCACTTTTGATAAAGATCACTTGCACTGTGACTACTGTGGAAAGTCAAGACATACAAAAGAGACATATGGAAATTGCATGGTAGACCAACTAGAGGTCGTGGAGGCAAGCGTGTCGGTCTATCAAGGGGTCAAGCTAATATTGCAGAAAATATGGAAACATTCAGAGAAAATGCTTCAGGAGAAACTCTGTCTTCGGAGGAAGTTCAGCACCTTCGTCGTCTCCTGAAAAAACTTGACACTTCTAATGTTGGGACATCCAATTATGTGCAGTCAGGTATTGCCTTTAATGCCCATCTTAATTCTTGGATTATTGATTATGGTGCGAATAGACACATGACAGGCTCCTCTAAAGGCTTTCAAAACTAGTCTCCTAGTCCCAAAGGGGACTGTGTCAGAATAGCCAATGGCTCTCTAACTCCTGTCTCTGGAACAGGTTCTGTTATCCGTACACCTGATATTACATTGTCATCTGTTCTTCATTTACCTGAGTTTCCCGTTAACTTGTTATCTGTTAACGCCATCACCAAACAACTAAAATGTACTGTCGAGTTCTTCCCTGATTATTGTGTGTTTCAGGATCTTCAAACAAGGAAAAGGATTGGCAGTGATAGATTGCATGATGACTTATATTGGATTGATGGAATTCGAGCATTTGGTAAAGCCTTTTTTGGAGGAAATAAGTATGTCAACCAAGAAATAATATAGTGGCATAGACGGTTGGGGCACCCATCCTTTTTTGTTCTAAAGAAATTATATCCTAGTTTGTTTTTTAGGACTGAGTTTGAATCTTTGTCTTGTGATGCTTGTGAATATTCCAAGCACACTAGAAACTCTTATCCTTTAAGTGATAATAAAAGTACTATCCCTTTTTCGACTATTCACTCTGATGTATGGGATTCCACTCAAACAGTTTCCTTGTCTGGTAGTCGATGATTTGTTACTTTTATTGATTGTTGCACTAGGATGACTTGGGTATATTTGTTAAAGGAAAAAAATGATGTCTTCTCCTGTTTTTAGTCGTTTCATAAGATGATTTGTACCCAATTTGAGGTTAAGATAAAAATCTTGCGAACTGACAATGGCACAGAATATACGGGTAAAGATTTTGGTGCTTATTTGGAGTCTTTTGGGATAATTCATCAAACTAGTTGTCCTTATACTAGTGCACAAAATGGGGTTGCTGAAAGGAAAAATAGGCATTTACTAGAAGTGGCACGATCTCTAATGTTTACTATGAATTTACCAAAACCTTACTGGGGGGAAGCCATTCTAGTACCTGCCTACCTTATCAATAGAATGCAACTTAAAAACCTCAATTTTCAGAGTCCTTTGGAAGCTTTGAAGTGTAAGAATGATTATATTGTTCCTCCGAAGGTGTTTGGCTGTGTTTGCTTTGTTCACACTAGGAGTTCGGGAAAACTTGATCCTAGAGCTATTAAATGTGTCTTTATTGGGTATTCTCCAACATAGAAAGGGTATAAATGTTATCGTCCTCGTCAGCATGGATGTTACCTTTTGAGAATCTGAGCCCTATTACAATAAAACACCATCACCTCTTCAGGGGGAGAGCTATAAGAATGAAGAGATGATTCCCACTGTTGAAATGATTCCCACTATTAAAGCCACAAAGACAGGAGAATGTGAAATTGAAGAAAGAATTCAGGGGGAAACTATTGAGCATTTGGATAAACCTGATTTGATGACTTATTTAAGAAAAAAGAGAGCTGAAGAAGTCATCATGCAATCTACTGAAGCTCAACCCTCTTTTGCTATTGAAACCTCTTCTACTGGTGAGTTATCTACATTTCCTTGTGAGTTAGATGTACCTATTGCTCACAAAAAAGGAGTCAGATCTTGCACCAAACATCCTTTATCTAACTTTGTCTCCTATAATTCCTTATCTCCTTCCTATAGAGCTTTTGCCTTGTGTATTTCTTTTGTGTCTATTCCCCGGAATTGGAGGGAAGCTTTTGCAGATTCTAGATGGAAGCAAGCTATGATTGAAGAAATGAAGGCCTTGTCAAAGAATGAGACTTGGGATCTTGTCACTTCACCACTAAATAAGAAATTGGTTGGGTGCAAATGGGTATTTACTGTGAAGCACAAAGCTGATGGTTCGATTGAAAGGTTCAAAGCAAGACTGGTGGCTAAGGGGTTCACTCAAACTTATGGAGTGGATTATCAGGAGACATTTTCCCCTGTTGCAAAAATGAACACTATTAGAATTCTTTTGTCTTGTGCAGTTAATCTTGATTGGGACTTACAATAGTTTGATGTGAAGAATGCATTTCTTCATGGCGACTTAGAAGAAGAGGTGTATATGGAGATTCCTCCTGGATTTGATACTGAACAAAGTCAAGGAAAAGTGTGCAGACTGAAGAAAGCCATGTATGGACTGAAGCAATCTCCAAGAGCTTGGTTTGACAGATTCTGCAAAGCAATGATCTCCTTCGGTTACCAACAAAGTAATGCCGATCATACCCTCTTCATGAAACACCAAAAGGGTAAACTCACTCTTCTCATAGTTTATGTTGATGACATAGTTATTACATGGAATGAAAATGAAGAGATGGCCCGATTGAAGAAGCTGTTAGCCCAGGAATTCGAGATCAAAGATCTAGGGAAGTTGCAATACTTCTTGGGAATTGAGGTTGCTAGATAAAAAAGAGGAATCTTTATTTCTCAAAGGAAATATATCCTAGATCTCTTGAAAGAAACTAGTATGACAGGTTGCAAACCAGCAGAATCTCCCATTGAAAGCAATCACAAGTTACAAACTAGGGTTGGAAAGTCAATTGATAAGGAGAGATATCAGAGGTTGGTTGGAAAACTTATTTATCTCTCCTACACTAGGCCGATATATCATATACAGTTATCTTGGTGAGTCAGTTCATGCACGATCCACGAGATCCTCATATGCAAGCTGTACTTTCACATTTTGCAGTATCTAGTCTGCACCAAGAAAGGCTCTACTTTTCTCCAAACATGGTCACCTCCAAATAGAAGCCTTTACAGTGTGGATTGGGCTGGATCTCTAGATAACAGAAGATCTATGTTTGGTTATCGTACACTCGTGGGAGGAAATGTAGTTACTTGGAGAAGCAAGAAATAAAATGTTGTTGCTAGATCCTGTCGCTCCCCTTTTTTCTCGCGAAATCGGGTTTATGACATTTGGTTGTGACAACTCTTTCCTTTTGGGAAAGGGGTTTTGCAATTTTGAAGAGTCGCCACCTAACTATTTTAAGGTGCATTAGGGCACCTATGGGGTTCAACTACAACTATGTTTAATAACCAGAGATAGGGTAAGGGCTTGAAATTATCCCAAGGGGAAGGTGTTAGGCACCCTTCAGGATCCACTAGTGTGGTTCCCGGCCAGATGGTTTTATGAATTTGTGCAATTAACAAGTAAACAAATAAGGCTCAAATAATAGAGGGTTTTGAATTTAAATACACAAGTGTTTGAAAACAATAAAAGCAAGGTTTGAAAAAGAGTTACAATGTAAGCATGCTTGAGAGTGTGAAAAGGTCCTAGGTTTGTTTGTAATATGGATCACATCAATGCAATACCCGATAATCACTCCTCAAAAGAGGGGCTACACGTGGTATTAGCGCACCGGTCATCATATCCATATCTACCCTTCCCACCCCGTGAAGGTATTAAAGCGCGGATTGGTCTCGACCTCTATTGCGTGTTATTACCCGTCATATTCCTAGCAGTCCCGGAGGAATTTTAGGACTACTACTCCTACAAGAGGGAGGATTTTAGGCTGACTCTTGGGTTTAAAGGTAAAAAGGCTAAGGCGACATACAAAAATACACAAGACTGCATTTAAAGGGGAAACATGTAAGCAATTAGAAGGCTCATATAAACCTCTGCAAATGATGCATACAAATAGCACGACTTAAACACAATTAAGGTCTGAATTTTTAAAAAAAATCTTAAAGCAGGGAATTTGAGTCAGACCCAGATTCATTATATAGCTCAGATAAGAAGTCCGAATCAGGCCTGCCTATTGGTTGTAGCAATTGATAATTAACAAAGACGGTTCCAGTGTTTATTATTACCTAAGGCTTGCCTCGGCGTAATAATGATATCCTATGAGCATGATATCTATATTGATTAAGAAATGCAGTGGAGCAGTGATTAATTTTAAACAAGCGATTTGAGATCCTATTGGCATGCTTTCTAACGGTATTAAGGCAATGTTTGAGAAACTTATTAAAGAAGCGGCAGATTAATTATCTAATCCTATTCAGAATAACAACAGGAACTAGACGGCTTTTCCAACAAAACTGTTTTTAAATTCTATAGGCATGATTTCTATTATAGCCATTTAGATCCCATAGGCATAGTATCTAAGTGTGTGAAAGCCGATTTTTAACCCTATAGGCATGTTATCTACCCTTTTAATAGCTAAAACATGCATATTTCCTAGCCCTTTTCACTAGCCAACCCCATAATGTTTACAAATTATTACAGCCCAAAATGATTAAATTACAAAAGAAGTGCAGAAATAGGAAATTACAACCAAAGGAAGCCTGATCTTGACTTCCTATCTGAGTTATGTAATTAATCACTTCAATGCCAGTGTTTCAAAGCCTTTCTCATACCTGAGTGTGTCAAAGTTCCCTAAGGATCTCAGGGGATCCCGGGCAATCCTTACACCCAGGTTTACATAACAAAATAGAATGACTGCAGTGTGGAAGGGCCAACCCTTATGTGTCCAAGATCAGAGGGAACTCAAGGGTCCCAAGGCAAGGCTCACACAAAAGGGGCAGAACATAGATTCTAAGAGTATAGTGGAAGTGCAGAACATAGTTTGAAAGAGATTTATTAAAACTGGTTTGGAAATAGTAAGTGGTAAAGGGTGATTTGAAAACAGTTGTAGTAGTGAAACTCAAACTACACAAAATCAGTAGTCATTCAAAGGGGCAAGGGATCGTGGGGATACATTGCTTAACCCCAGCAGGGGTCTGGTTTGGTCATGCACAACAATAGCTGATGCTGGCATGTACACAAACCATCCAAATGAACACAAACACATATAGGGGATATGGGGGTTTGGGATTCATAAGGTAGCAAGTACACAACAAGTGATTGACAGAGTACACACATAGGGAGGCATTAATTTAAAAGGGGAAGGGAACATGTTATAGCATGCTAGCAGTGTAACTTAACTGCAGAAACATAAGCGGGAGTAGACAAGAATGAGAAACTGAAGCAACTTAAAGAAAGCATGTTGTTGCTGAGGCTTAAAAATTAACTAGGACATACCAGTAGAGAAGCAAAGTGCAGTAAGAAAAAGAGTAAGCAAGATTCCATAGTCTAGCCTTGGCTTTCAGCCGGCTAGACAAAACAGTAGCACAAGTAGCAGTAAAGAAAGAGAGAGTTTTTGAGTGTAAGTGTGTGTTCTGAACTTAAATTGTTCGTGTTTAAAAGAACAGAGGGTAGGGTATTTATAGTTTTGAAAATGAGTAAATATTAAGGTAATAAGTAAAGTCTTAACACAAACATGGAAAAATACAATCAGAATAAATTAACACAAGTACTTCCCATTAATCAAGGAAGTACTGCTCAAACGGATACTAACAAGGTTAATTAAGGAAAGAAATCAGTTTGAGACAGATTGATTCTTTCCATATAAGGGGGTAGTAAAATATAGAGTATACAATTGAGTCTAGGTACAGAATATATGCTTAATTTTGGGAAAAGATTCCAGGTAAAACATCTTAGTAATTAAAGGAGGTGAATCAATCAATTTAAACAGACGAATAAAATTAGGGTTCATAAAAAAACCTTTTACAATCAATCGCAACATTGAGGGAGTCAGAATCAATCAAGAAAGGATCATGATTCTGCACCTCAACATATAAATAGAATGAACAACAGTATCAGACATGCAAGGCCAAACACATTGGCAAAAAAAACAACATAAGCATACAGTAGTAGCAGGAATAAGCTAGGATTCAGTAGTAAAAGAGATCTACTCAAAGCACAGTATTCAACAAGGTCAGGTAGTTACACAGAATCAAAAGTGAAGAAAGTATAGTAACAGGTAAAGAGAGTCAGAAACAAGTAAAGGTCTCACAGTAACAAGTGAGGAAAACCTTTTAAGAAATTAGGGCTTCAATAGTAGTCGAGCTTAAGAGATGATGAGAACTCAGAATCAGATAAGTCAAACAAGGAAAAGAGAGTCAAAACAAAGAACTTAATCGAACAAATATACATTCAAACAGACAAGGACAGTTTTAGAACTCGGATAGGACTAAAAGGACCTAGGGTTTTCAACATGCTGAATCAAGTAGAAGGAAAGCATAAACAAGTTGTTGAACATAGTAAAATCATAAAGCAACACCAAAAATCAGAGAAGATATTTTTAAAAGAAGTTAAGAGAAAACCTAATCGTTGAAAAAAATGAAGAGTCATTCTGAAAGAAAATCGAAGAACCTTCGAGAAAACACTTAAGAAGTTCGTAATAAGCACAGATCTAAGATAGATCTGAAAGAAAAATCGAACAGCTCTTAGAGCAAGGGTTTCAAAGAACCCAGAGAAAATGAGAAAGGCCTTAGAAAATACCGATCTAGTTGGAAAAGTTAAGGACCTGACTTGAACAGCCATGGATGGCCGGAGAAAGACCGGAGATCAAAGTCGAGCAAGGACTGGACCATATCTCGTCGAGATTTGTCCATGAAATCATGAAAAATATGTAGCCAGTAGACATAGGAGACGAGTACACATCTCAAAACGCCATGGGAGACCATGGATTAGGTGGGGATTGAGGTGGATTAGGGTGGAATTGGGTGGCGGCGGCTAGGGTTTAGGTGGTTTTGCAGAGAGAGTTTGAGAGGAAGGGATTCAAGGGTGGCGGGTGGTGAGAAATGTTTTAGGGTAAGGGGTCGTTTTGGGTTAAAAATGGTAAGGGTAAACGATGGCCGTTGATCTGAATGGTCAACGGCCTAGATTAAAAGGGGTAGGTGGGGATCCGAGTTTGGGTCGGTTTAATTGAGTTGGGGTCGGGTTTAATGGGGTCTGATTTGGGGTTCAATTTAGGCTAGAATTTAAACACAAGTGGGCTGTTATTTAAATAGCCAATTTTTCCCTTTTTAGATTATAAAAAAATAGTAAATAAATTTCTGAGAATAAATTGAAAGCACCAAAATGATTCACAGCATGTAAATGCATATTTAAAAATATAGGGCTTAATTTTATGAATATAAAACACGATTAAATCTTAATAAAAAGGCTAATATTGCAATTATAGGCAATTA